ATTGCAGTTGATGGAGCTCGATTCACCAAATAACAGGCGGTATTGACTGCTTATGCCCAGAATTATTTTTTTAGGCCTGCATCTCTCAACATTACTCTTGTTCTTTCTAACAAGGTTCTGTTCATCCGCTCTGCCACTCCATTTTGTTGAGGAGTTTTCGCCACTGTGAACTGTCTTTTGATGCCTTCTTTCCTGCAAAAGTCATCAAATTCTTCGCTTGTGTATTATCCTCCATTATCTGTTCTGAAACACTTGATCTTATTTCCAGAATCAAGTTCCACCCGTGCTTTGAAGTTTTTGAAAGTTGAAAACACGTCTGACTTCTTCTTAATAGGGTGCACTCAACATCTTCTGGAGTAGTCATCAATAAATGAGACAAAGTATTTTGCTCCACCTAGGGATGTTATTGGTGCTTGCCATACGTCAGAGTGAACCAATTCTAGAACACTTTTGCCTCTAGAATTTGATGTGTTGAATTTCAACCGGTGCTGCTTACTTGTTATGCAATGCTCACACAAAGTAAGTGATACCTTTGTTAAGTCTGGAAGTAGCTTTTGCTCCACAAGGACTTTCATTCCTTGTTCTGACATGTGTCCAAGTTTCTTATGCCATAACATTGCAGAATCTGAACTACATGAGGCAACAGAGGCTTCTGCTTCTAGCAATGTCTCTCCTTTCAGCATGTACAAGTTTGCATCTATCTTTTCACCTTTCAACACCACAAGCGCTCCATGGAACACCTTCATGATTCCTTTCCGTGTTTCAATCTTGCTAGCATTATTATCCAAAAATCCGCAGGATAATAAATTTTTCTTCAGGCCTTTCACGTGCCGCACATCTCGAACAACTTTAATTGTTCCATCATACATCTTTAATTTGATGGTTCCCATACCAACGATCTCTAAGGCATGATCATTGCAACTATACACCGATCCTCCTGAGACAGGTTCATAATGATGGAACCATTCTCTTCTTGAGGTCATGTGATATGTCGCTCCCGAATCAATGAGTCATATATCTGCAAATCTTTTTCTGCCTTCCACGGTGGTTGACGCTTCACAGCATAGAGCATCTCCATCATCTGAAGTGTTTACGGTATTGCCTTGTGGATTTGAGTTTTTATTTAGACTCCAACAATCCTTCTTCAAGTGACCCTTCTTTCCACAGTTGTAGCACTTTAAATTCTTCTTGCTCCTCGACTTTGATCTACCATGTTTGTGACTGCTGCTTTGGTCACGTTCTGTTGATCTCCCTCTCATCGTTGTCAACGCTTCTGCTTGTTGCAGATTTACTTGTCTGTCTTCCTTATTCTTGCGCCGATTTTCTTCTTGTAGAACAGCAGCTGCAACGTCATCGAAGTCTAGACTGGTGACATTATTGTTTGTCAAGTTGATGATGAGTTGATCGTACGAATCCAGTAGACTTTGAAGTAGAAGTTCAGCACGTTCTTGTTCTCATATTTTACAGCTTAAGGATGTAAGCTGAGAAAATAAGGTGTTCAGTGTATTTAAGTGTTCCGTCACTGAAGTAGATTCTGGCATACGGAGAGTGTACAATTTCCTCTTAAGGAAAATTTTATTGTGCAGCGATGTGGCCTCGTACAATTTGGTGAGATGATCTCATATCTCCTTAGTTGTCTTCTTCTCCTCGATGCTTGACAATACTTCATATGCTAATGCTAGATGAAAGTTTGCCATAGCATTCCCGTCTATCTCGTTCCATTTGATGTCATCTGCAAAATCCACCGGCCTTTCATTGATAGCCGCTAGACACCCGTCTTTTCTTAGGATGGCCTTCATCTTCAATTTCCACAATGAGAAATTTCTCCCATTGAATTTTTCAATATCAAATTTCGTTGCCATAGCTTCTTTTACGGATAGCTCCCACTATTTCACTATCGTGAATAGTTCTCTGGAACCTTCAAAGAATGGGTAATAACTTTTTATTTTCTTATGTTAGATGATCCACCTTTTGGTGGCAACTACAAAGACAATAAGCAGATATTACACACTCTAATCTAGCTCTGATACCAATTATTGCGGAAGATGGCTATCAGATAGAACAAAATCGCAACTGATAATTTGAAAAAATAAAAATGAAGAAAATAGAGACACAAAATTTACATGGAAAACCCCTAAAAATTTAGGGTAAAAACCACGGGCAACGGTAGAAGAATTTCACTATGAGAAAATAGGAATTACAACCTCTCTCGATCTACCAAGGAGAAAACAATGATAATTCTCTCTTGATAAAAAGGAGAAAATAACTCTCAAGAAACTCTCTAAATTATCTAGTATTTGGAAGAAAGCTAGAATGCTTTGGGATGGTTTTGAAGCTAAATGGGCTAGGGTATTTATAGCTAAATCTTAAGGACTTAATCTTGTAAATACCCTAAAGTACAATGACTAAATGTGTAGTTTTACCATCTATTTTTTTTATCAATTTGGTGGCCAAATTTGACCACTAGCCGCCCCACTTGTTGAACCAAATAATTAAGCCATTTTTGTTTACTTTCAACAAATCGGGCTGAGTAAAGAACAAAACATGATCTTCCATTATAAAGAAGGAAACCCTTTTAAGCACACAAGTAATAACCAGATACGATACCTATGGTGACATCGAAAACTTGGCAAATTGGGTTTTATTTTTGGTCTTGCATCAGCTTTCGTTCGGATCATAACGAAAGATTACAGCAAGGGGTAGCAAACCTCACCTTTGCAACAGCATAGACACATAAAAGGCCGGTATCTTTATAGTTGGTACTGAAAGCCATCATGCTTTCTGCAATTTCGTTTATGCTAACTCTTTGTGCCAGCTCGGAGCTGTTTAAAGGATTTTAAACGAATCAATACATTGTTTTGCAACAGAAGAGTCTGGTTTCGAGACTGCCAAAGCAGTGTTGAGTTTAATATAAAATGCAATTCGAGGTCAGATAAAAGCTCACTCCATGTGCTTTCCACCCCAGCGTTTTTGTTACATGACCCCAGCATCTCCCGCATAAAAATTAGAGCAATGGAATCCGGGTCCGTCGAAGACGTTGCCTCAAAAGCAAGGGCGAATTTTGCTAAAGGAACATAGTCATTGATAATTCTAACCTGGTTTGTTTCGAAATTACAAAGATAAAACAGACCATTGAAAGTGAATATTATGAATAAAAAAATGGAAAAAATAGCACCCCTACCTCAGAACCTGTAAAACTGGCTGGTTCTTTTGCAACTAACTGAGTAGCAGTGGTTGAAATGACTATCCAACTCAGTTGGTAGAGCACAAGGTTCTTAATCTTAAGGTCGTGGGATCGAGTCTCATGGAGGGCATTTCATAATTTGGAGGTCTCCTACGGAAGTTGCTCTCAACCTAGTGTTGGGAGTAACCTACTATCTTACCTCCCCTTGCCCCATTACATATTACATATTACATATGGGAACAAGGGACAACCATTTTTTGAGTAGCAGTGGTTGAATCCGATGATAACCTCGTAAACGACTTCTTTGTTTGCTCGACGATTTCATCGTGCTTAACAGCTCCGGATGCAGCAAGGACCTGCAAAATTTACAGAATAGTACAGATTTATAAGTACCAACAATCCGACCGAATCACAACATATTCATCGATTTTAAGGACTCGGCCATATAGTTTTTTGCATACCATTCGAGGAGTAGTGTAGTGTGTCTGAATTACTGCTGCAGATGCTCTTTGGTGATCGTCCTGATATTATCAACAAGTCCATGAATGTTTCTACCAAGAGGAGTGAATTGGAAAGCAGTTGAATGCAGATGATTGAAAACATCTTCCTCTGTATGTCCCTCGGCCTATAACATTCACCAAAATAATAGCCTTTTCATGAATAAAATCGTCATAGAGATCAACTGGAAAACCCCAGAACAACATGATCTAATACAGAAAAAAAGATAATAAACATTCTTATGAGTCTTGTGAAGAGATTATCTTAAAAACTTTATGAATTACCTGCAGTTCCCTTAGGATCACATCCCTTTCTTTACTAATGCAACGTTCTTCGAACTTGGAATTCTGCAAAATATCAGCCAAAATGTCCACAGCTTTAAGGACATCCTTACCCATAACTTTGGCATGGTAAGCTGTTTGTTCCCTCGAAGTATGAGCTCTCAAATGGCCTCCCATGATCTCAATCTCTTCTCCCATTCTCTTCGCACACCTCTTCTCCGTCCCTTCGAATATCATATGCTCCAAGAAATGCGCCGTCCCGTTCGTCTCGTCGGACTCATATCTCGACCCTGCGTCGATCCACACCCCAACACTGGCCGGTTGAGAATTCGAGGTGGATTCCGTGGCGAAGCGAAGGCCGTTGGACAATGTTGTGATTTTGGTTTCGGGGCGATATAGGATGTGGGAGTGGGAAGTTTGGGTCGGATGAGGGGAAGCGTATTTGAAGAAACGGGTATCCGGGTTATCGAGTTTTCGGAGCTTTGATTTGAGGGAATGGGCTATCCGATCGTAGATCATGGCGGTTTGTGGAGGAGGATTGATGAACTCCTCGGCATTGGAGGAAGACGATCTGACGACGGTGAAGAAAGAAGAGGAAGGCTTGTGGGACCGGCGAGCTGGAGAAAACAGCTGTTTGATCACCATTTTTGATGGATTCTCTTCAAAATTCAAAATTTTGAGGTTTGTGGGGGAATTTTAAGAAATTGAAGAGGACTTGGCTTAAAATCCCTGTAATGACACCTACTAAATGGTGAAAAGGATTAATTCTTGCTAACTACTTTGACGATTTGAACTCAAAAAATACAGAATATCAATTTCATTGTCGGAGATGATGACAATTGTAAATCTTTCAAAAGAAATTATGATTATGAACACTTGGTTTTTATAAATAAAACAAATGCAATTTCAATTTACTTATATTTTATAGGGCAAAATTGTAGAATAAGACTCCATCACTGCCTTTGTTCTTCCAAAATTGTAGAATAAGACTCCATCAATGGTTTCCTAATGTACAAATTCCTTACAAAATTATATTTAAAAGATTATTCTCTGATTCTCTGTATCATAGAGTCTGGAATTCAGCACTTTGTCCTCTTATGTTGTGGCATATGGAAATTTGGCTCCCTTGAAATAGTTGGATTCTTTGAGGACCTTCAAAAAACCATGCAAAACAGCATAAGAAAATTGACAAAGAAATTTCAAAATCAATCTCTTTATCTCTTCTTCTTCTGTAAATCCTATAGTTTTATATATAATTTTGAACTTTTTACCTTCTGGGAAGGAAAGGCTTGTCGAAGAAAGGCAAAGGCTGTGCTTTTGGAACAAGCTCCTTCCTCAACCTCTTTATCTCTTCTTCTTCTGCCATCTGCAACATCAAAAAGATCAATATTTACAGTCTTTCTTTTCTAACCAAAAACACCTTTAAAACTCATGCATTTGTCTGATCATTTTCTTTACCTTATCCTGCCTAGCCCTTTCCATTTTATACTGTTCAATTAGACTCATCTTCTCGGCTACTTGATTATCGAACTCTGAACGCTCTGACGCTCTAATGTCGGAGGACAGTCTTGGGTCTATCGGCCTTGTAATCTCTTTAACATGAGGTTTGATCAACACCTGCATAGGGAAAATCAATACAAGATTGAGAAAAAAAAAGCACATGAAATTGTTTAGTTTTGAGATTTGGATTTAGAGTTTTGGAACTATAAACCTCAGGCTCCTCTGTTGTACATGGGAGGCCTTGAGCAATAGGGATCCTTTGTTTCTCTTCTTCAACCATCATTTCATGGATCTTCTTCATGAATTCTTCTTCCTTCAGTTTCCCTCGTTGCTGTTAACGTTCCACAGCAATCGAAAATTGTAACATATGAAACCGGAACGAATGCGATAAATGGTCTAGATTAAAAGAGATTCAAGTTGAAAGATGATACCTCAGTTCTTAGCTTGAATGGTTTCTGGGAAGTTGGCTTCACCAGTTTCTTCCATCTCCTCCCACCAATTGTCCCATGAGACACAGAGCTCTAAAATCAACAAATGAACACAAAAAGTCATGAGCCAGAATGGAATAAAAAACCATTATATCGGTATTTTTCACCTGTGATTCATTACCATTATAAAATTATATGTATGCAATGCCACAGAAAAAATAAATTCGCAGAAGTGAGAGGTTAGTTACATTTCTTTGGTTTCTTCGACCTCCATTAGAAGACCTGCTTGGAAAACTGAAAAACGAAGGAACAATATTAATAAAAAAATCTATTTAAAAAAAAAACCCCAAATCTGAGACTTTAGAGAGAAAATGCAAATATATAATTTGCAGGCTGTGAACTAATCATCAATCAATTGCTTCACCGACCTTCCTTGACTTCCATCCGATGAAGAAGACGATGAGAAACGCCGATCAAAGCCAAGATTCTCAGCTGTCAAAACAAAATTTGATAATGCCCATTTCAATGGCTTCTTGTTATTATCATTCTTCTCTTCTTTTGGTTCCTTTTCATCGGCTCCATCTTCCGATTCCTTTGAATTGGGTGAACAAAGAAGCCTCTCAAAGGCCTTTACCAAATCCATAACTTTACCTGATTGAGGCAGACCATTCTTTGCTTTTTGAGTATCAATAAGATCGGCTTTGTCTTCGGCCTCTTCTTCAACTTCGGTTACAGATTTGTTCTTGAAGAAATCCTCTTGAGATTCCCTCAAATTCTCATAAGCAACACAGAGACATTTCTTCAAACTCCCAGCATACTTCTTTTTACATTTGCAATCGATTTCGACATTTGGATTTGGATCAAACCTTTCTTTCTTCAACTTCTTCTTGGCCACCACAAACTTCCTTTCCCCGAGTTTGGTTTTCGGTGAATAAACTACTGGATTCTTGGAAGAATCTTTCTGGGATTTTGAAGATCTTGTTAACGGAGAAATCGAAACAGAGGTGTTTGGATTCGAATTCTCGTAGAGTTTTGAAATCTTTGGAGTTTTGGATCGAGAAGACCCACTCGCTCCTGGGTCTTTTACTGGAGTCCCCTGTTTTGAATGCTTGGAAACCTCCATTGGGGGGAAAGGAAGAAATCCTTCGAGAAACTGGAAAATAAAAACTGGGTTTTGATTTATGGTTGACGGTAAAACGAGAGAAAATTAGGAGTTCTGATGAAATCAAGTAACTGCGTGTGAAAAAGCAAAAGTCTGGAGAAAAGAAGAAGAAAAAGTTCCGTTAGAGTCTGTATAACGGCTACTTTTTGGTGGTGTTTGTAAACCGTCGGATAAATTGTTTAAAATTAAGATTTTATTTTACTGACCGTTGGATTATGGGATTTTTATTTCGGGAAATGGTGGGCTTAGTTTCGGGCAAATTTGGACCAATGGATTCATTTAGTTTTTTTAGTGTTTATACGAAGTCCATTTGTTTATTGAAAAATATATTTTGAAAAATAATGTTCATAAAATAAATTATATCTTTTTAAAAAATAACATATATAAACTATTTTATGGTGTTGAGATAATATTTTATTAATCAATTTTTATTATTTGATAAAATTTCCATTAATAAATATCAAATACATTTAATAAGATCTCAATAATAATTTTACGAATTTATACAGAATTGATATGTATCTAAAAGGATAATATCAACTTATAAATTCAATATCGACATAATATCAACTTACAAATGATATTTTGAATGCTCAAGTGAATTTTTTCCAGGAGCTATCATTGGAATAGCATGAAAGACAATGATTTTAATAATAATATAAGAAAAAATTATTAATCGGGGATGATGCCAAGATTCTAGTTTAAGATGATAAAATCAAAATTTGAGGATCTAAATATCTTTATATATTTTCTAACAATAAAAATTAGGAGGGACAATGACTCCGAGACGATGTATAACTCTGTCCCCGCTAAAAACAAAATTATAATATAGGAATAATTGAGAAAAAGAAATTATATAAATGAGACAAAGTAAGAATTAGACCATAATATGAAAATAATGTTATATAAATCTTTTTTTCTTCAATTTTTATTATTGAGATTTGGGGATTTACATTATTATGTTGTTTAAAATGATAATTGATATTGACTTGGGTGGGACTCAAGTAAAATGATATCTTTATATTCATATGTCAAACATGAATTTCAAATAAAATCAAATACGTAGGACACTTTTTAGAGCACGCAATTGAGAGCTCTCAATTGACATAATCTCGTTATATGAAAATTTGAAAATTTGAAGAGGACGATGGCCTCCGATCACCCCCCTCGTTCCATTCTTGGTTTCCTTCAACCCCAAGCAAGAGTGTTATTTTTGGGGCAGTTCCAATCAGTGCTTATACCCACTATACTTGATGAGAGTTCTTGTGCATATCTGGCTCACACAGATCCCTTCAAACCCACAAACAACACCATATTTTGTAATTTTAACTACAACATTCTGCAGGCCAGGCACATGGCATTCATCATCATCAAAATATCCACATGTTTCCTGTTTCTAATCTCACAGACTTCGTCCATTTTTTATACCCTTCTTCTTTTCTATGTTACTCATTCTATGCTCATCCGACTCTTCATTTTTTTAAGTGTCTGTATCCGACATGGATATCGATATCGGTCTCATCGAACAAAACAGAATCTAAAGCCTTTGTCATAGCAGATGACTAAGAATTAAAATTGCTTTCATTTCATATGTTGTACATTCATCAGACTGCTGATATTTGCAAAAGAATAGAATATTTCACACATTTTTCTTCTATTCTTCAAATGTATGAAACAAAAGAATGAAGAACCCCTCAAAAAATTGAGAATATTCAATCAAGATATAGGGAGCAATGTTACTAGTACAAAAATATCGAAAAATCGTATCAATGGGACTTTTCCATACCAAGTATCAGTTGAAAGAAGTAAGCTGGAAGTGAGTTACCATTGGAAACCAGAAGAAAAGCCAATGTAACAGTTTTGGCATCGCCTTTCATCAGTTAGCAACTAGGCTCGGTAGAGCCTCACTCTTGCAGTCGGTTCCAAGCCGGCATGACTTAAATTCGGTGTGTCACCTTTGGCCTCTTCATTGTGCATAACTGGTACATTGAGATCAATAACATCACAAGAGACGTTAGAAAGGTCTAGCAGCTCCGCAGGCTGCTTGTCACCGGTTACGGGGTATTTCGACATGTGAGACTTTTTGTGACCACCCAAAGCTCGCCCCGATCCAAAAACCCTCAAGCAGATTAGGCATTTGTGCACCTTGTACACCCCTGTTACAGAACTAGTCACCTCATTCATTTCCCGGTCTACTGAATTATCAATATACTTGACCTTTACAGAACTGCTAATGTGGGTAGTTTGCTCGCGATCTTCGACTGGCACTACGACACAGGTATTAATCTTTCTGTGGATTGTTTGATGACCTCCAAGTGCCTGATGAGATTTGAAAGTCTTGCTGCAGATCCTGCACTTGTATTTGTTCTGTGAATCATCAGACATCTCAGAATTCAATGGAGTACTTATTAACTTGTTCGAAGCATCCCCTCCCAGTTCCGTATCACGAGCATCAAGCATGGCATCTTTGCAAGAACAAGATTTAATGGACCATAAACCAGTTAATTCCAATCCTTCCATCAAATCCTGCCCTGGTTCAACTTCAATACACCCCAAGTTCATTACTTCACCACAAATTCTTCCCTTGATCTCGGGTTCGCAATACTCGAATCCAGGTTCATCATTCTTTTCCTTTTCAGACAAAATCCCAGAATCCGATTGTTTACATTCACTTATGTTCTTCTCGTGGAAAACATTCATGGAACCAGAAGCGTATGAATCAAAGTCATCCCCATAACCAAAGGGACTCTGAAAATTTTCTTTATTATCACAAGACTCCCATAACAATTGAACTCGGTCCAATTCTTGACACCACTAGACAACATTATCAAACACAGAGCACCTTCTTCAATCTCTTGATCAACTTCGACTAAACCAGAAGATTCATTTAGACCATTGTTATTGTACCTCAATCTTTTCGATCTCTTTCTCTTCACTGTTATGCTCTTCAAAGGGTGCAATCTCATATGAACATTGAGAGCCTTCAAAGACTTGAACTTTCTGCCACATTCTTGACAGTTAACTTCTTTCCTTCCTTTTGCAGAATGATGCCTCATATGACCGAACAAAGCTTTCATTGACTCGAATTGTTTGCCGCAAGCTTTGCACTGGAACTCAAGGGTCGAGCTGGTAGTGGCATCATCGTCAACATTAAAGCCCAAAGATTTCCAAGATTTCTTAGGGTTGTCCCTCAAGCCATAACCTTGAAAACCCATAGTCTCCTTTGCCTTTCTTTTACCAGACTTCTTCTCCATTGAAACGAAACGAAGCTCAACTCACTTCAGCTAAAAAAAAACTTAGAGAACCCAGAAAGAAACAGAGTAAGACCCAGATCAAAAAGAAGATTCTTTTAGCGGAAAAAGATGGGAAATCTTAGAGCTCACATCAACTAAAGAAGAACCAATTGCTTGTTTGGTTAACTTGATGAAGATAAAGGTGTAAAGAAAATAAGATCCGAGTGGCTAAAGAAGCAAGTAGAAAAGGTCAAACTAAAGTGAAACAGAGTTTTGGTTTAACAGTGAATTTGCATCTTGAAATCCTTGCATGTCAAGCAAAGTTACCAAAGCTAACAGGGTTTGGGCACTGCCCCCATTTTGGGATCACTTATTAGTATTCGATCCAGTTGAGTGGAGTTGAATTAAATTAGAAAAGTTTAAGTTAAATAAGTTGATAAGTATTATTTTATAATTTAGATTTTATTTGAATTTTTTTATTCGAGTTGAATTGTTTAAATTTTTATTTAAATTTAATTGTAAATATTTATAATGTCGTAGCACTAATTGTTTTCAATTTAAATAAATTTTTATTAATATATATATATATATATATATATATATATATATTCATATGATTGTCATATTTGATATATATAACGCAGAATTGAGGAATTTGTCTCGAATTTAAAAATCAATCAAATACTTTATTTACCTCGACCTTTATACCTTTATTGCATCAATAACTTTCAATTTATATCCACTTAATATAAATCAATATTTGGCTTTGAATAAAAAGATCATTTGAATAAATATACATATTATAATCTCGTTATACAATGTAAAACTCTTTTAATTTTACTCAAATTTAGGACCGTTAGATGATTGAAAATTGATAACTAAGATTAACAGTAGGAAAATGAGAAAATATTTATGAGAATAAAAAATAAAAAGTCAATTTCAGTAATCTATTTTCACTCATTTAATGATATTAAAATTATGAAAAACTCTTTAATTTTATATTGTGTAAATAAATCATAACCCTATATATATATATAGGGCTCTCTTTGTTTTTTAATTAATCAAACACAACAACAAAAAGGTTTTAAATCACTCCAAAAGATCAAATAAAAATTAAGGATGAATTAGTCACTCTAAAATTCAAATACGTAGGTGTAAAAAAGATAAGTGATACCACACCTACGATTGCAGAAACAGTCAGCTAATGTGGGTTCTAAATTTTTTTGGTAAATGACGAGGCAGCCTAACCTAATAAATTAACTTATTCCACCACATTTTCCCCTGTTCAGAGGCTATAAATTGTTTCTAAAGGTGCGACCATTCTGTGGGTTCCTGAATCTCCTTCTCGTCCCAGTTTGGTCATCTCATCAATAATTCTGTTCCCCTCACCAAGGGTGTGGGCTGCTTGAATATCTCAATCTTTTCTTGTCATATCAGCTACATAATTTCATACTATTGATTCAAGATCTTTTTGGCAAGCAGCTTCTAGGTGCTTGTAGACTTTCTTGTTGTCAACCTCAATGATCAGTTTTTTTAATCCGAGTTCCCATGCAATTTTCATTCTTCTAGGACTCCCCAAAGCTCATCCTCTAAAATTGAGCTTGTCCCGATAGCTTTGTGAAAACCCATTATATATTCTTCTTTTTCATCTCTAATCACTCCTTCACAAGTTGTTACTCTATTTGGTCCACTCACGGATCCATCCGAGTTAAGCTTTAGCCAGCCTGGTGGTGGGGGTTTCAATTGATCTCTGATAGATCTTGGATGTTGTCAATCGTCTTAGAGTCTCCTAAGGAAGCTATAGCTCGATTCGTTTCCATGACAAGCCGTCTGCTACGCTCTAGGATCGTTTCTCTCTCCAGTACTTCAGGTGCAAAGATCCGTTGATTTCTTTGTTTCCAAAGGTTCCATAAGATTGCTCCAAATAAAGTTCTTCAAAATCCATTCCTCTTCCTCCTTAGCAAAGTAAAACGGGGACGTTAAGTTCTTCAAAATCCATTCCTTGATTCCTAGTGCAAGAAATTCCTCTAGCTTCTCTTCCTTTATGAGTACCACCTATAAGGTGTTGGCTGTGGGGCAAAGTCTCAAAATATGGTTGATATCTTCTTCCTCGTTGTTGCAGATTTTACAACTCGCATCTAGAGCAAGACGTCTTCTCGTACGTTCATTGTTTGTTAACAAAGCTCCATGAGCCGCAAGCCACACAAATGATTTGATTCTGGGTAAAAAATTTCTTGTCGAATCGCTTTCCATACCGGTTCTTCCTCAATTGTTTGGTGGTTCGTTCGGGTTTTGTACGCCGTTCTGACCGAGAATCTTCTTTCATCCCTTCTTTGCCATCCTGGGATATCATTTTTAAATTCTGGTAAGGGAGATTTAATTGTTGCTATCTTTAGAAGGATTGAATTTGGGAGTATATATTCAAATTCTTCCTATCTCCACTACCATCTTCATTTACCATAGATGCAATGTTTCTTGAATTCAGTTCATGGGTTCTTGTGTTTGTCATATGGTTCTTTAAGATGCCTGCACCCTTTAACCAAGCATCGAACCAGAATCTGGTGTTTTCCCCGTTTCCTATGTTCCAAATAATTTCTTTTCTTGTATCCTCCCAGAAAATAATTTATTTTCTTGTATCCTCCCAGACTCTCGTCAGGCCTTTCCAAAGCTGCGAGCAATTTTTCCTTTTTTTCCGGCAGTTCACTCCCCCATTTATATTTTGCTCTCAAGAATGTCACCCAGAGTTGCTCTTTGTTTCTGATTAGGTGGAATGCCACCTTCATAAGGAAAGCTTCGTTCTGTTGTATCAATTTCTTTAGCCCTGCTCCTCCTTCATTGCTTGATTTGCACCCTGTGTCCCAGCTAAGTAGGTTGATTCCTCTTCTATACGTCGAATGACCCCATACAAATCTTCTAATTAAGCATTCTATCCTAATATTCTCTTCCTAATATTGTTTGACCAATATTTCCCGAAGTAACAATTTTTCGACTGAGGTGGCATAAAGGAGCATCTCTGGGGAAGCGCTTTACCTGGATTTTATCTGATTGGGATGCCACACGGGTAAGGCGTATCCCCGGGGGCACGTTTTACCTGGGTTTTGCTGAATCAGATGTCACGCTGATTTTGTTTTAATAAAGATTTAATTTTTATTGTTATTATAAATTAATAATATATTATATAAAGTATTTCGGTTATAATTTAAGAATTATTAAATGTATTTTTTAAATGTGTGTTAAAGGTTAAAGTGTGAATTTAAGTTAAAGTATTATATGTTTTAGAGACTTTGGCTCAATAGAACAATAGATGAAAACCAGCTTTGATCGTATTGTAGTTATAGGAAAAATGTATGAAATTATAATATTACACGTATGATTATTTATCTATTATTTTTTTCTATTTTGATTATCGATTTATTAATTTTATCACTTAATTATTTAAATGTTATCAATCAAGTCATCTGTTGTTAATATTTAACGAAAATATTGATGCATCAGTTAATAAAATTAGTGTAATTACACATTTAATCTTCAATACTTACATATTTTATCAATTTAGTCTTAATTTTAATTTAATAAATTTAATCCTCCAATCAGAACATGAAACGTGTCATTGTATACATAAAAAAATTCTAACTTTTAATTTATTTAATATAATATTTTTTCTATAATTAGAAGGTGGAATTATTATAATATTTTACAATTAATAATAATTTTTTTATAATAAATAATGTTAATTATTATATTCAATAATTATAATTAATCATTTTAAAAAATTACCAATAAAAATAATTTATATAATATTAACCAAATATCATAAAATAATTTTTAAATACTAATTTTAAAAAAGATATAATTTATTTAGGTGCACATACATTGGGAAATTATAGAAAATGAAATTACATTTAAATATTAGAAAAAACATTCATTGAAATAGAATATTAATTACATAAGGGTTAACGATTATGCGATGAAAACATAGCTGAACATTTTTTTCTATTGTGATCGATGTTTCTGCAGTGCCCACATCTCTTTTGTTCAGTTGACTTCTCCCGAATATCCATATCACAATGTATTATAGTGAATTTTGGACGACCTGAGTCCCTCAATAGCAACGGTTCTGGTACAATTGTAAGCCAAGTTTGAATTTCATCTGGGTCTCTTTCGTTACCTATGGGCGGAAACTCAAATTCATATACCTTGAATACTTGTGAAAGTTGGTATACGGGATCAACATAATTTTTGTAGTCCAAATGCGAATGTGAGCAAGCTACAATGACATGAGAGCATGGATATTTGAGTGCTTGAAAGAAACCACAATCACACCACCTCTCTTGCAAATTAACTCTGAAAGAGTTAGCTTCAATACCTTGCAGCGGAAGTGGCATTTCGGTTACACGAAACAATTCACGGGTGCGAGAAAAATTTGTAACCAAATTCCCATTTGATGCAACCATTTTTTTCTATAAA